GAAACCCAAGGAGGGGTCGCTATGAGTCGGGGCCGACTCGACGGCACATAACAACAACAACAACAACTCCAGCATCGAGTTAGCTTTTCCTGTACGGGTTTGGTTTATGACTTAAAGCAGTGTAGGGGACAATTTGTAATAAAAAGTTCCAAGGTGTTCATTTAACCTCTAATCCTTTCCAGCGTACCTTCTTCCACTTATCTGTGCAGCCAGTGAGCCTTAAACTGTGGTGTTTTGGTCACGATGTGGAACAGAAGGGAAGCATCCCCTAGGTGAATGCCCTTGTGGTAACATTGTGTGTCCTCTTGGCTGGTTTTGATTGGCTGGGCAGCTGGTTACAGTTATTCCCCATGATGAGCCTGGCCATCACCTCCGTGGTGGAATCTGCCACGAGCAGCTGAGTAGCTGCTTCAGGGACATGATCTGCTTCCAGTGCATATGGAGACATTTGAGAATGCTCTGCAGTTTTGGGGGAGCTCTGGTAGCATAGTGGCTAAGACACTTGCCTGCTAACCAGATGGCTAGCGGTTCAAACCCACCAGCCACTCCTCGGAAGGAAGGTTGGGCAATCCTACTTCCGTAGTGATACTGCCTCAGAAACCCAAGGAGGGGTCGCTATGACTGCAGTTTTGGTATGCTTAGACCCTGCATGTAGTTGAGTTTTCATTCAACAGCCTGCCATGTTGTCGGCTGATCTTTGGACTGTTAAGTGACTTGAATTAGTGACCTGCTGTGTAGTTTGATAATCTTGAAACTGTGCCATTTTTACTTGTCATTCTTGGGTTTTTCAGCCTCAGCAGTCAGCAGTTGCCTGAGTGAACAGACATCTCCAGCTCCAGTGGGCTGGGAGCAAAAGGCAGAGCTGAAGCCCAAGTTCGAGGGGCTATCACTCAGCTCTTAGAACTTGGCACTTTGAACTAAGACTTGTAGCCTCCAAAACTGTAAGGGAATAAACTCCTGTTTATTAAAGCCACCCATTTATGGTACTTTCTGTCAGAGCAGCACTATAGAATGAAAACAGTCCCTCTCTACTACAGCAATCTCAACAACCGCCTTGGTGTAACAGTGTGCACCCATCCCTCATTGTGGTGAGAGAGGTTTGAAAGTATTCATGGGAGTTATGTTAGTGTCCTAGTGCTGCCGTAACAGAAATACCAGTGGTGGATGTGGTGGATGGCTTTAAAGAATACAATTTTATTATCTCACAGTTAAGGAGGCTAAAAGTCCTAATCAGGGTTTCACCCATGTCGATTCATTCACTGTAGATACTTCTGGGTGTTCTTTGGCTTGTACATGATCCTTACATGGTATCTGTCCTCCCATGTGTGTTTATTCATGTATCTGTGTCTAATTAGTTCTTTATATAACTCTAAATTTATTAGGTTTAGGATCCAGCCTACAGTAGCATACCCTCAACTGATAGATTGGTTACATTACATAAGATTGCATTATAGAACGTGATTACATCACATTGCATTAGAGGCAAAGTGATTCTTTTACATTATATTTGTTCTTGTTGTTGTTATGTGCCGTCGAGTTGGACCCGACTCACAGCGACCCTTCCTTGGGTTTCCAAAGTGGTATCACTATGGAAGTAGATTGCCCAACCTTCCTATATTAGATTAGAGGTAAGATAATTGTACTTCAGTCTATTTGGTTACATTCACATATATAGGGGTGAGGATTGCAAACTCATATTTTGGCAGAGCACAATTCAAGTGCATTAGGCTGTGTTCGAGGGGAAAATAACAATGGTATGCAAAGATTTATATTAGTGTGGAGCAAAATGACATGGCACTGCACAAGCTATTGTCTGGCATCAGAATAAGGTTGGCTGTCTCTGAAGGCAGATAACCTAGACTTGAAAGTGAATTGTGGAGCTAACTACATGTGTTGCTCCCAAAAAATGTATTTAATTCTCTGAGGCACAGTTTAAAAAGGAGGGGATCTTAATAGCACCAGATCAAAAGGTGGTTTTATGGATGAAAAAGCTAAAATAATTGAATGACCTATATAGCAAAACCCCACCACTCATCTGAATTGTCATACTGTGGTACCTTGTGTGTTGCTGCGATGCTGGAGGCTATGCCACCAGTGTTTCACATACCAGCAGGGTCACCCATGGTGGGTAGGTTTCAATGGAACTTCCAAACTAAACAGACTTGGAAGGGGGACTTTGGCATCATACTTATAAAATAATTGATCAGTGAGAACCTTATGTAGCAGAATTATCTAATATAGGGCCTCAAGATGTGTCCCTCAATTTGAAAGACACTAAAAATACAACTGCAGAAAAGTATCCTCTTCAAACAAGTGTACATCTTGATGAGGATGGAGTGTAGTTTTCAGGACCTCCATTTGCTGATGTGGCATGACTTAAAAAGAGAACAGCTGCAAATATCCATTAATAATAAGAATGTAGAATGTACAAATTATGAATCTAGGAAGACTGGAGGCCATCAAACATAAAATGGAAGGCATAAAAATTGATATCCTAGGTGTCAGTGAGGTGAAATGGACTGGTATCAGCCATTCTGAATTGTGCCATCATATGTTCTACTATGCCAGGAATGACACACTAAGGACAAAGACCATCGGAGTCATGAACAAAAAGAAAAGCACATTTCAAGATCTATCCTGAAGAACAATACTATCAATAATGGGATAACATCCATACACTTACAAGGAACACCAGTTAATACAATTATGACTCAAACTTGCAAACCAATTACTAATGCAAAAGATAAATAAATCTAAGATTTTTACCAACTTCTGCAATCTGAAGTTGACTAAACATGTAATCAAGATTATTGGTAATAACTGGTGATTAGAATATAAAACACAGGGAAAAAGAAGAATGTGTGGCTGGAAAACATGGTCTTGGTGATAGAAGTCATGTTACAGATTGCATGATAGAATTTTGTAAGACCAAAGATTTATTCATTGCAAACACATTTTTTTTTTTTTTTTTTTTTCAGAAACAAGAATGGTGACTGTATATGTGGGACTTCACTGGATGGAATACACAGGAATCAAATTGACAACATTTGTGGAAAGAAACTGTGAAGAAGCTCCATATCATCAGTCAGAACAAGGAGCCAGGGCCAAGTATGAAACAGACCATCATTTGCTCATATGTAAGTTCAAATTGAAGCTGAAGAAAATTTAAACAAATCTACAAAAGCCAAACATGACCTAGAGGA